CAGCTTTTCTTTGAATAATCGTACAATATATAGGGGTATTCGGAATGACTCAAAAGAGCGCCTTGGCCTGGGAATTCTGTGACATAGGAAATAATTCAGGGAATTCTTTTTAGAGATATAAAGCCTTGATATTTTATGAGATATTTGCTACTTTTATATCTGATGTATGGAATGATACTTTGGGGAAGATATTTACGAAAGTAAGTAGCTCAATGGAGGAAATTGTTAAGCTTTTTAGAGACCTACTTTGAGGCCTATTCAAAAGGGAAGTTAGCAGCTCCACCCCACGAAGAAGAACTTCACAGATCAATTCAATTTATATTCATTTTAAATCAATCTTAATATTTTCATTCTTTATTTCTTTCTAAACTACCCCCATAGAATATCAATGACGGAAATACAAAACACAAATCAAACTAATACTTCAAATTGTTTGGACTGCTGTGGCCCCGTCAGTCCATGGCTTGTCCATGACCATGACTCGCGAAGAGACTCTCTTCCCACGATTTTCAAAGTTGAATCAACGAAAATTCATCAAATTGATGCATGTGTAACACGACATCAGGCATCATAATAACAATTTTTATAAATTATTTGCCTTTTGGCAAAAAATGTGTCTTGTGAAAGTTTTTCACACAGGAAACGGGCCACAGATTTATGCAACAATTTATTGTTTATTAGTCGTTTTTTTCACCATGCAAAGTGGCAGTTTTTGGTTAGGGAGACTCGAGTCAAGGCTGCAGTGACAACGTTGCCAGCTGCATACAAATTTCACAAAATTGTGAATCAGTTTTCGCCCCATGTGACGAGTACGAGTACGAGTACGAGTACTCTCGCAAAGTTGCTAATCGACCTTCACAAGGTAAACCGAAAACGTCACCGCAAAATATTTGTGTTCCAGAGAAACCTAATTGATTTTATATGAACCAATTGTCTATTTAGCATTTACTTAGCGTAGAGAATTACGCGGAACATGACTCAGTGTTTGGGCATTTTTCAAAGGCATTAATTTCGGGGCAGTTTCGATTTTTTTGTGTATGCAAAAGACATTGAATTTAATGCCTAAGTGTTTACAAACTGGCATGGCATGGCATAATTAATAATTATTAAATGGTTATACACACAAACAGTTAGACGATGTGGGTTTCTGTTGCCCACTTCACAGTCTCCGAAGCACGGGGTTATACAAATTCATAAAACCATTTAGAATAACCCCAAAACGAGATATCGTATCGTGAATCTTAAGAGCAATAAAAACACACAACAGCAAAAAAAAACTGAAAGACAGTAGAATGATCAAGTTGAAACACAGAAAGATTCAAAAGAAATACATAAAAACGGTTTTCAAGATGTCCTTCAAAAAATCTGCTGCTGCAAAAATATTTGAATTCAAAACAAATAAAAGGCAGCAAAAAGTATTAGTCATTGAAATAAATTTATTGATTTAATTGTGGTTGGTGAATCCCGTTGCGTAAAGGAATCTTTTACCCTAACTGTTGATGCGTTTGGACATTAATTGTATGCATGAAGAACTGCTCTGATTTGAGAAGATTCCCCCCATTCATGTCTTGGATTTCGTCATTCATCTTCAACCAGCTTCAGAGTCTATAGTGCGTTTTGCGATTTGTCATGCACGAGTAATCTTGGCCCCCAACCAAAGTCAAGTCATTGCTCATTTGTCCGTCTTTAATTATGACGATTGTTGCAGCCATTTGGCACACCGTTTTGATAAGCCTTTAATTTGATTATCAGCTTGTAGCCGCCATCTGGTTTGCAACGAAATTTATTAAGTGTAAAAGGTCGAGAGACAATACAAACGAGCCACATATTTTAGGCCATGGTCTTAATTAGGAGGCCAATGGCAAAGAACAAGACAAATCTTTTGTTTTTAGAACTGAACTTTAGCCGCCGCATGCATACATGAATACGTATATATATAAATACATGTGTACATATGTATGTGTCGCATATCTAAAGTTGTTAATTGTGAAACCCATTGACATTTATAGGAGAACTGGTTGCTTAGAGAGTTGCTGCAAATCATAATCTAATCGATGTGCCGGGCTCTGGGGACTCGACTTAGCCACGAGCCAGGCACAGGCACTGGCACCCGGTTCGACAAGAATGCCAAACCACTCCGCTGAAGGTAGTCCACTTTTGAAGAAACGGCACGCAACCAGCGACTCAGTCAGCGACAGGCCCGGCTATTGTTGTTTGAATTATTTTTCTCTAATGGGGATTATCGGTACACGCAAGAGGTGATATAAGCTATAAATATAGCGAGTAGAATGGATTCTTTGTTAGCATTTCATAGGGTATCCAACACTCCCTTACACACATTCCTACCATAGCTTTCTTTTTTGTGTGGCCTTTTCTTGATATTCTGTTATTAATTTATTAACAGTTTTTACCACCATTGTGTGAGCAAAGCAGCAGCACAAAACTGGTCGCTGTCGTTGCTCTACGAGTATTGGCCGCTGTCATGGGTTTTTGTTTATTATGAAAATTCTAAATGACTTGCTCTAGAAATTTGCAAATTTTTAATGGCCACAAAATGTCTCAAAAGCTGCTACAGCCACTTACCCAAAGACCTTGACTTTCTTTTCAACAAAAGCAACAAAAATACATTGTACGAGTGGATATAAGAAATATTTCTTCAACTCTGCATCCGACTCCGACTACAGAGCACAATTAGCCAGCCATAAAAAAATGAGACGGGGTCTGAAGTTTACGTTACAATGCGCATTTTGAAAGTAAAAATGTTTATCTGTTGGTAGAAAGTCAAAGTCAAAGCGTTGACAGTGACTATTTGTTGACTCACTCGCAATTTCTTTGAGGCACGAAAACACATTTGCCTTGACCAGAGGCGGAGATGCCTCCACGGAGTTTTAGAAAATTTTTATGCAAATTCTTAAGTTATTACAGCCCCTGGTGGAGCATTAAATTGCACACCTAAACGGATATCCATTTCAGCATCGAACTTAACAAAAGACTCGAGCCGCATAAATTTGTGAACTCTTGGAGATTGGACTGGGGCTCGCTTTTTGCTTTTGTTTAAGGCGGAACAATGGCAAATCAATTAAAACTTGCCGCCTGGCCAGTCAACTTTTGTCTGTCTTCCGCCTGTAGATTTATTATTTATGGCTAGAGCACTTCACTTTATGCCGGCTTACGCAGTCCGCAGGTAACTAGTTTTCACCTCAGCCACCTAAAATACACACTTCGAGGCAATAACGTATGTGCATTGCGGTTCGGCCTCAGTCTGTCTGGATTTGCTTTTGCATTTTGCGTCTGGAAGTGCACTCCTGGGCGCGTGTCTGCACAAACTGCAATACCATTTCGTTGTTTTGTTTGTTTGTTGACTCGACGACTCTCTGCGGCATATGTTGACCGTGCATGTCATTCGAGTTTAGTTTTGAAAGTTGTTTGCTTCCTGCAATCCACATCCACGTCGCGTCTTGGCAATTTTACCATATTAATTAAAAACACATCACCTCCAGAGACGCCGCAATCCTTCTGCAAAGTGCTATTTTTATGCTCATCTTATTGGTTCGAAAAATTGGAAAGCAGAGAATGACTTTCTGTCAAAGGAAAGGCTGTTGGGCTAACTGAAAGTGAAATGCATTGAGCGACATAGGGAAGGCTGTCCTGTCTGTCCAGCATAACGAAATCAATCAATAGTAACCCACTAAAGGATGTGCCACTTCAGGCCTGCTTAACCCACTTTCGAACGCCCCAACGAGCCTATTGAGTGCGCATTTGCACTTGAATGGCAATAAAAGCAGCTGTCAAGGGTAGTTGGATGGAGAAAGGAAAAATGCATTTAGTGTCCAACAATGGCCCACTAGTGTCCCACTAATTCGAATTGGTTGTACGCGCCAAGTGTGGCTATCGACTCATACCTATCGATACACGCCACCTAGTGCAATTTTGCAGCGGCTTAAGATTCGCGATTTTCCTTCTAATCCATAAAATGTATTAATTAATTAAATTACCTTGAATCCTCGGTATGTTTGTGGTATTGCCATATAAATTTACGTAGAAAACATATGAAAAGGTAAAAACATGTCAGTCTACGATAAAGTCATCATTTAATAGCAGTTTTGAAAACATAATTGTAATATTAATTAATGAAAATAGGGTATACAAATGTACATAGTACTGATTGGCCAGCAACAAATAGTCAAACTACGTCACATCCATGCTCACTACGTAACTTTTTATGCTATATTTGTACTGTGACCTTTTTAGTTTTAGACTTTGGAAACATTCCAAGAAAAATAAGTCGTGATACTCTTGTGGAGAATCGATTGATACATCGGATACAATTATAGCTTTAACGCTGAGACTCCCAACTAGCCAGTAATATCAAATAGAACACATCCAAAGCTTTGGATACAACAAATTGGGGAGAAGAATTTTGAATGATAAGAAATTTAGTTATAATGAAGTTATCAGGCGACGATTTGAGATTAGAGCTTAGATGTAGTTTGACAGTAAGTAGTAGACTGTAGTAAAAGAAAAGAAAATAAATCAATGAAAACATTATCCATAGGTAGTTAGACGATAATGATGTAAAGAATTATAATAAATGTGAATAATAAATTATGGATGATAATGTCGAAATTGGATTCTAGCCCCAATTATGTAGTAAAGATAGAAGAACCGACCCCAAAGCACCCCAAGCTTATAATATATACTTATGTTCCCTTATCGCCCAACGCTTTGTGCAATTTTCAGGAAAACAATAGAATTTATTTTCCTCTTTTGTTCCGCGCGCTTTCCCTAATTGTCAATGATATCAGTTAACATATGTACACTCTCTTAATAATTGACATATTAACATACTGAAGACTAAGCTTCCGTGCTTCCAGAGGGGGAGATCATCAAAATCGAGTAATCTGATTTAAGACCACGGTATACTTCACGGTATATTTTGAAAATTAAAAGATAGAAGAAGTATATTTCGGTATATTTTATCGATAATTCCGCTGCCACTACTGGAGGCGCAAATTCACTTTTTTATTTGGTTTCTATTTTCTATTTTTTCTTTGACGATAAAGATGGCCAGCACCTCTCGTGCTAGCCAGGCTAGCACCTCACGTTTTGGCAATAATGGCCAGTTGTCTCAGTCGTCGCAGCAGGTCACGGCAGTCGATGACAAAGTGCGTTCTACTTTGAAATACATTCTGGACCATTCAGCGGCGAAGATTCCCATGAAGGAGAAGGACTTAGTGCCGCTAGTCGGCACCAAGGGCGATCTTCACAGCCGGCTGCCGCTCGTGTCCAAACTGTTGGCGAAGAGCTATGGAATACGCCTTCATCAATTGAGGGACGCTACCAAGATGTACATTTGCATGGCCGAGGCGCCCATGGCTTCGATTCACGAGATGACGCCCGAGCAACGTCCCCAGCTCACGCTGCTGTACATTATATTGATGTACATATTCCTGCGCCAGATGCGCATCGAAGATACAAAGCTGTATGCCATGCTGGAGCTGCTGGGAATACGTGTGGACGGGGAGCACGCCTACTTTGGCAGCCATTTGCGGAAACTGATTGAGGACACATTCGTGAAGCAGCAGTATGTGAAGCGCGAGCGCGCGCAGCCGGAAGGTGCCTTCGAAGAGACCAAGACCTACATGCTTTGGGGACTTCGCGCCAAGGAAGAGTTCGCCTACGAGCAGATTGTGGAATTCTCTGCTAAGATACTCAAAAAACCGCCCAGCGACTTCTCCGAGCTGCTGGAGATTGCCAAAGAGCTCGACAATCAAGAATCATAGCAAAATTACAATTAAAACATTTATATAATAAACAGGAATCTTATGTTCTAATACTTTGCATAGTCGGTGTCCATGATAAGTTTGCCATCCTTGTCTTTGAGACGCACGCGTCCATTGGAATAGCGGGTCTCCTGGCTGCCATCCGGATAGACCATCTTGACGGTACCATCGGGATATTCGCGACGCTTGTTCAGCTTTGTGTGTATCTCCTTCTGGCCATTGGGCAGACTTAGAATCTTATCACCGTTTCGGAGCTGCACGAGACGCGAGCCATCCTCATAGCGCCACTCCTCCAGCACCTCCGCATCACTTGGATCCACCATTTTGATGGTATTATTGGGGAAGCGTATCTCAATGGTGCCATCCTTGTGGCGATGCTCCGTTTGGCCATTGGGAAACTCCAGTATTTCCAGGCCGTCCAAATATGTTGTGTGCCAGGTGTTGGTCTCCGCATAATAATACTTTGTGGTGCCCTCCCTAATGTCCGACTCCTTGATGTCCTTGTTGAAGTACAACATTCGCACGGTCATGGCATCGGCGCTGATCTTCTTGAGGTTGCCATTTGGATACCAAATGTCCTTGCTTCCATCTGCATTCACAATCTCACGCTTAAAGTCTGTAGCCGATGCAGGTTCTACTGTGGATTTGGCTGCCGCTGCAGCTGCAGTTTCTGTGGGCGGATCTGAGTCATCTTCTCCATCACTGGCGCTGCTGCTGGGATAGCTTTCTTCCAACACCTCTGGCTTCTTCTTATCTGTGCGATTTCGTGACTGTCCATAGCCACTGCTCTGGCCTCGTGTCGGCACACTGCCACTGCTCTGGCGGCGGTTCATGGACTCCCGCTGCTTGGCTGGAACTTTGCTGGGAGGTCCATCCAGGGACTTGGTGCGCCGCCCGTTCTCATCTATTGAATGAGATGAATCCGTGGCCAGCAGCTAAAAGAACAATAATTAATGAATTTCTGTTTTAATAGTTTCATTTAACTACATACCACCTTCGGCGCCAGTCTAGCAATATTGCGATTGATCTCCTGCAGCATTTTTGAGTTGTTCTCACGCGAAACCTTGATCAGCTCCTGCTCCAGGCGCTTGTTCTCCTTGCCCAGCAGCTCAATCTCATCGCGATATAAACGTTGCTCCTTCTCGCCAGCCCGCAGCTGGGCTCTGAGGCGTGCCTGGGCCGACACATGGGTCTGCTCCTTCTGCTTGAGCTGCAACTGCAGCGACTCCACCTCCTGCTTGAGGGCAGCGATTTCTTTCTTCTCTTTGCTGTTGGCATTGCTCTTTTGTAGACGCATCTGCTGATCAAACTTGCGGCGTTCCTCTTCGATCTTCATGCGCTCATCATGCAAATACATCTCTGCTTGGATTTTCTCATCGTGGACACGATCCATGGCCTCCAGGTGGTCTTGAGCGCACTTGGCCTTTTCCAGCTCATGCTTCTGCTTCAGGCGAATCAGTTCCATATTTTGTTTTTTGAATGTGGCAATCTCCGCTTCCAGTTCCTCGAGGCGTGTGCGCACAAGATTTGCCTTTTCTTGAAGTTCTTTGGTGAGGGGCTCGTCTGCGGATTTAGTTGGACTCGACGACTTTTTCTTCTGCTCCAAGGCCTGGAAGAGCGCGGACTTGAACTGCTCGAAAAGTTGTACGTTGGAGCCATCGCCGAGGGTTGTGTCATGCGTGTCATTGGAGTCGGAGAAGCGTACGCGCACTTGATTTTTTCCCACCTGTATGGGAGTCATTGTCAGATCGCTCGACTGTTCCTCCTGAGCGTCCTCGTCATCGTCGTCTATCTCCGTGATCTGGACCACTTCTGGCTGCAAATGCATTTGCCGAACCTGCTGGGTGACCACAATCTGATCCGTATCGTCTGCCGACTGACGGTGCTCCTTTCGGGCCATGAACGCCCGTATGCAACTGGAGTTCATGTCAAAGTTTCCCTCCTGTGCCTTTTGCTCCAACAACTCAAATATGCTCACATTGCTGTCATCTTCTAGTCGAATCTGGGCCGTGCGTCGTTGGATGAGGGGCACTGGCTTGATACTTTGCGCATTCAATACCTTGGCCCAGCACACGCCCGTCAGGGGACTCGCCTCAGAGGACTGCTCATCGTCGGCAGCATGCTCTTTGCTTCTCTGCTCAGCGAAACGCACTCTGGGCGACACGCTGGTTGTGCTTGACGATGCATAAGAAGACTTGAGGTCTGGTGTGGAATTGCAGGCCGTTTTAGAGCTAATCAGAAGCTTCTGGAAACGCTGTTCATTGAGGTCAAGATCTTGCGGCAGGGAATGAGCAGCAAGAGGAGCAGCAGGGGCAGGCGCTTGTGCAGCGGTAACTCTTTTCGTCTCCTTGTGCGTCTTCAGAATGCTCTTCTTCTGTGCTTGAGTGCGGAACTGTGGATGCGCATTTGCGTATTTATAGCGCGGCAAATTTTCTAAGCGCAGCCGATCAGGATTGATCTTAAAGCGTTGCTTCAAGCCCTCGCCACGACGCAGAAATGGACGCTTGGGCTTCGCAGGTTGCTGGCTATCGCCGCCACCACCTTCCTCCTCCTGATATTCCGTGTGTCGCGGCATTTGTATGGATACATCCGTGCGAAGCTCCTGGTCATCGTCTACATCGGATTCTTCTAAAATACTACTCTCCGCGCTTTCCACCTCCTTGTGAACAAGTCCCAACAGTTGGTACATGTTTCGCTGTTCCATGCCAAGCATTACGCGCTGGTTATTTTGACGCTCCTCCAGCAGGCGTTTCTGCTCGTCCTGCCAACGATTCAGCGCCGCCAGTCGCTTCGTTATATCCTCTCGGCTGGTGGCAAGGGCAATGGAATTTTCGCCATCGTTCTGCATTATGGGTTCACATTAAATTTGAATGTTTTGTTTTGTTTTGGTTTAGACGCTGTACTCCTGTACTCAAAAATATACCGAAATATACCATAAATAATTCTCCTCGACATTCAAATTAATATTGCCAGCTAATTAAAAATCTTAAAAAACTAATTTAATATTTAAATTATATAGATTCAACATTTTATTATATGCCGTAAATATTCATCTCATTTTCGAATTTTGTGGATATAACCCGAAAAGTATAAAATAAACCGTAAATGGTCACCCTGTACTGTCTGTAGGTGGCATCACCAGCCAGGGATGGAAAGCATCAAGAAATTTTACAAATTTTAATAATAGAACTTGATTTTTTTCTTAATTTTATTTACAGCAAATAATTAAAAACATGTTATTCTTATGAACTGAACCCTTCACATATCTGGGTCCCTTTCGGTCGCATCAGGTTCCTCAAAGTCCCTCACTTGGACATCGGCATCTTCTCCAAATTGCAAAATATTATCAATTTGCAGCAAGAGATCGCTAATACTCTCCTCATCCTGTGTGTCCAGGGGAAAGAAGCGAACCAAACTGTAAAAAATATAAAAACAATTCAATTAATTAATCCGAACGCAAGACGGGTGGCAGCACCACGTTTAGTCCAGCCCTGGCACCACGTACAAAAGCCTTTTTTCGCATGAAGAAAAGAAAATGTGCTACGCCATTAAACTGAAAAGCAATGTAAAATATAATAATAATAGGAAGTACTAAAGTGCTAGTGGCCAATTTACATGATTGTGCAACAATTAAAAAATTTCGCGCCATAATTGTGCTGATAAAATACCACCAAAAAATCCCGTGTGGCTGGTAAAAAATCGCCTAAATTACGGTACAACACTTTTTTTCGGGCAAAATAACGCTGAAAATCCGGCCAAATAATCCGCTACTGCCTGCGATTCAAAAATATGGAAGAAGGAAGCGGAGACCATGGCATGGACCTGTCCAAGGTCTCCGTGGTCCGCTCCGCCAAAGGCGTTGATATGCTCTGTGTAGACGATTACCTATACCATTTCGATCGCATTGGCAAGAACAACACCTACCGGTGGCTCTGTAATAGACGAAAAGATAAAATATCTCCCTGTAAATCCCGCATATGCACCATTCTGCCCAATGGCCTGGACAAGACGCGGCATGTTGTCGTGGACGTGCCTGTCAATCACATCCATCCCCGATGCAGCGACCATGAGGTTAGCAAGGTGGCGCATCGCAAGCGTATCGCCATTATGAAGAAGAACGACGCGTACAGTTCCACCCAGCCCAAAAGGGCACGACAGTATGAGCGTGCATCGGGTACACTGAATACTCCACCCGAATTTATATACAATGGAGCCAGTACTGACACCTCCTTACTGGAAACCACCTTTCACGTGGACTTTGAGGTATATCTCAACTCGATGCGATGGCATTAATCATTATAAACTCTGCAATTAAACTATTTTGCAGGAAAAGGACCGTGTTTACATGATGAGACGTCGCGATGGCCGTGTTATGGTGTGCATCGATGGACACTTGTACTATTTGGGCGGGAAGTCATACAAGGGGGAAATTTATAGATGGACATGCGTCCGTCAGCGGGACATTGAGTGCACGACCAAGATCTGCACAGAGGCCACTCTGGATGGGGCACATCGTCTGCACATGATCGAGACGGACGCTCACATACATCCGCATTATTCGGCCGACAAGCTGATGCAAATGTTTGCCAAGCATAAAATCCTGTTGGTCGAGGACGACCAAACCAATGATGTCCTGCAGGAGTGCCCCAATATAGAATACTTTGACCCGGAGCAAACGGTCGACCCATCGCAGTGTGACGATATCGAGTCGCTAATTATAGAGGATTGTGAGGAGAGCTATGATGATGAGCAAAGTGCAGAGATATCTGGCGACCTGGAGGACTACCAGACCGAAGCAGAACAAAGGGCGGAATTGCACAGGATGCCAATACTTTACAACAGGTCCATATGGCCTGTCGCACACGATGTGATAGCAAACTATGTGCAAGAGCCCGGATACGAACCACTGACAGAAACCAATCTGACCAAATTCACGTTTCTGCCCTCGGCCAAGGGGCGCAAGGTTCTTTGCCTGAACCGATATCTGTATCACTTTGACTCGCAGAGTAAGTCGAACGGCCACATGTTCTTCACATGCATAATGCGGCGCGACAAGCATCTGGCCTGTCACGTGCGCGTTACGTTGACACCAATTGGTCCGATGGTGCTGCGCATCAATGGTCAGCACACCCACAATCCAGATCTAAAGGAAATCGAGAAGCGACTCGCCCAGCAAGCCAAGATAGATCTTGAGACTCCGAGCGAGCCTCAGCAACATTTGGCCGAATCGGATATAATAGAATACGAAAGCGAGGAAGATGTTGGCCACCAGAGTGCTGATGGCAGCTACGAGCAACTGGAGAGCCACTTGCAGCAGAACAATCCAGAGGCACAGGGAGAAGTTGTAATGAAAAAGGTGATCGGCATCGATGGGGACATCAAAATGGAACCCACCACCAAGTCAATGGTCATGCAATACGTCGAATATGGTGCGGATAATCTAAGCGCCAAGATTGAAATAGTGGATTTCATGGATGGCGAAACCCATACACACACCGGAAGCAGGACCAACACATCCACACCGTTGCCCAAAATACCACCACAGCCAGAAATCACGAATATACGTAGACGTCGAGATGTTATGGAGCCCCAGAAAACGCTTCTCCATCCTGACATGGATTTATCAAAAATCTGCACCTTGCGGTCTGCCAAAGGCAGCGAACTGCTGTGTGTCGATGGTTATATATATCATGCCAAGAATCGTGGCGTTATATCGCGTAATTATTGGGTCTGCATCAAGAGTCGGGATCCTGGTATCAACTGCAAGAGTCGCATATCCACAGCCACCCAAAAGGATGGCTCCATACGTGTCCTACGAGTCTACAACGTTCACACGCATCCCTTTAGCGAGGATGACATCAAGCGACGTCTGTTCAACGAGATCAATAAGAAGAACAACAAGAAACTCAAGTTTCGGCCACTACACTTTATTGGCAAGTCGCTGGACGAGATACAGCAAGAGTATGGCGATCTGGCCGTCGAGCGTCTGAGTGTGTCCAACATCAGTAACGATATTATGGTCCAAAAGAAGCCAAGGTTGCCAAGTCCCAGCAAGAACGGCAGTAGCAGAGCCTCAGTGACATCCACAACCAAATCCGAGCCGCCGGAGGAAGGTGAGGATGTCGATGTTGTGGACGAAGGTGAGGAGCAGCATGAACAAGTCTCCGAAATAGATGGTCAGTACATAGAAATGGAGCATGACAATACAGATGCCATCATTGAAGTTGTGGAAGAAGCGCCCGACGAAATGGAAAACTATGCACCCGTTGAGTAAGTATTTACCCTTCCCCTGAGATATTACAAGACATTCAAACTGATATTAATAATGGAGGGACCAACAAAGAGTATTTTGCCTTCGCATAAATATTGTTTGTGGCTTTAGTTGGAACTTGTTTAGATTGACATTGAACTGGTGATGGCAACGTGTCGCTGCTATGCTTTAAGCCCGAACAATATGCAGATAGTGGACCACCTCTAGCCCGAACACCTGCTGCATATTATTATAAATAAATCTTTCAAGCAATAACCACCGCCCAGACGTTAGTCGTGTTTGAGTGCTGCGCGAGCGCACTTTGTATAATTTTTGTGTGACTTTCGATTGGGGTAAATTATGAAAATGCAAGCAAACAAATTCACAAAGGCACAAACTGCCAACACATTACAAAATAGAGTACCAAAAATAGCCTACCAGCAAAAAAGGCCACCAAAAATAGATAATTCATTAGAAAAAGGCCGCACTAGAGGCAACTGACTTTCACTTTTGGTGCGCAAAAGGGAAACCGGTTCAGCAAAAAATAAAATAAAACTAAAGGAAAACGAATTCTTGATTTATTTTATACCAGACCCGCTTACCCTATGAAACTGTATGCCGTATCCGATGGACCGCCCTCGCTGGCGGTGCGAATGACTATGAAAGCCTTAGACATAGAATATCAACTAATTAACGTGGACTTTTGTGCACTGGAGCATCGGACCGAGGACTATGCAAAGGTAAATTAAAAAACAAAAAAAGACTCGAGAGAATTTGGAATAAACCAGAGTGTACGCTGTCTTTCAGATGAATCCCCAAAAGGAGATACCCGTACTGGACGACGATGGATTTTATCTATCGGAGAGCATTGCCATTATGCAATATCTGTGCGACAAATATGCGGCATCAAGTTCGACGCTATATCCGCAGGACGTGAACCACAGGGCGTTGGTCAATCAGCGTTTGTGCTTCAACATGGGCTTCTACTATGCCCCCATTTCGGCCCACAGCATGGCACCCATTTTCTTTGACTACGAACGCACGCCCATGTCTCTGAAGAAGGTGCAAAATGCCCTGGAGGTGTTCGAAACATATTTGGAACGATTGGGCTCCAAGTATGCCGCTGGCGACGATGTAACCATAGCAGATTTTGCTTTAATCTCGGCCACCATTTGCCTGGAGGCCATCGATTTTGATTTATCTCCATACCCGTTGGTCAACAAGTGGTACAACAATTTTAAGGAAGAATACCCGCAGCTGTGGGAGATTGCAAACAGTGGAATGCAGGAAATAAATGCCTTTGAGCACAATCCCCCGGATTTGTCTGAAATGGAACATCCATTCCATCCGACGCGCAAGGCCAAGGCTTGAGAATTATTAATTAGGTTTAAACGGATTCTTTGTAAAATAATCTATGCTTGTAACTATTTCTTTATATTCAATGCACATGAATATACAATATTATTATCCACTCACCTGAAATCCTCAATGAGCGAACCAATTGCCTCTGTCAGCTTGCGATATTTCTCCCCAAACGAGGACCCAATGGTCAGTTCTCCCATTAGATTGTGTGCATCCGGCTCCAGGTACATTTCCAACTGCTTTCGCGCCTCAGAACTCAGCAGATCCACTTTGGTCAGCACATTCACGTGCGCCTGCTCCATGTTGGCCATCACACTGAGGGCGGCCATGGTGCCCGATATGAATTTGGCGCCATCCACCATGAACTGCGAGTCCAGGCAGAAGACCACACAAGTGCGGAAGTTCCAGGACTCCAGCAGCTGTACCAGTTGTTTGCCCATTTTCAGATGAGTGAACAGCTCAATTTGTCCGGGCATATCAAAGAGTATGTAGTCATCGTCCGGTTCACCCACCATCAGCTCGTCCTCGCCGCCGCACAGCTGCGCTTTCAGCCAGTCCTGGTTCTCTATGAGGAACTCCAGGCAGAAAATCAATCCTCCATTGGGTCCGTACTGCAGCTCTTCATCCTCCATGGCATCATCCAGGTGTATCAGCTCTCGTATATCTGCGAGCGGACTGTAAGTAAAGTGTTCGGCCGCCGGGTCCAAATTGACAACTTGAATATTTCGTTTGGCGTCCATAGCATGCTGCTGCATAAAGCTGCAGTAGGTCGACTACAAGTGTAAAAATTAGATTTCGTACACACAGGTTATTCCCTGGTGCTTACCTTGCCACTGCCTGCAGGACCCACAATTATCTGGGCGAATCGCATGCTTTAAAATTTGTAAATAACCAAAACAAACGTGGGACCGCGAATATGTCCACTTTCAGAAATATACCGAAATATACCACGAACTTGGTGAAAGATACTATATAATATATACCGATATACCATGAGTGGTTGAGCGAACTTAACCCACTTAACCCCCTCTATTTAAACAAGTGGATGCCTGGAGTAAGCTGGCAGAAAATAATACTTTTTGTATCTTTTCATGTAGATACATACTTTCTTTTTATTTGAAAAAGGCAATTATTACATTAGCTGCCACCTGAACGTAGATAAAGTTATTAAAGTTTCATCATTTTCCTGTGTATATTTAAATACCCCACTGGTCGTCAATGTGTTAATTGCCCTCTGTCTATGTTTGGATGTCATATACTACGATTTTGATATTCTGTTTGAAATTTCAAGCTACCTACCTAGGACTCTCAGCGCTTAGCATACAAATTTAACTGTTTGATTATCCATACGTTTTCTACAAGTTAGGCCAATTTTAAATACGCACTTTCATTGGATTGTTCGTAAGGTTCGAACAAAAAAGGTTAGAGCTTTTCAAAGCGTGCGCACCAACATCCGTGCTGGAAAGCGGCTGTGCTTTTAAACACACTGATTTCCCCCTATTTCCACCCCATGTGCAGTGCGGTGTGTTTATCAGATTTGAATTGCAAGATTATCGATGACTGCAGCTGTGTCCGCCCTCAGCTAATTAAATCTTTGACCGACCACAAAAACACAAAACAGAAGGCATAAATTTACATATGATGAAATTGATAGATCAAACGGGCTCACAATCAAAACGCTCAATCACGTCATCACTCGTAGCAACCCCCCTGCCACGAGCTAATCCTAATTGCTGATAAACATCTAAATTGTTCAACCAAACTCGCGCCTGTCTCGACACGAGGACTCAGCATCTGTCCAACGTTCTAACGATTGACAGTCATAATGATATTTTAAATGGCACACTGAAAACGCTTAAAACTAATAATTTTTCATTCTGTTTTTTTTTTGAGGAAAATTGTCTTTGGCGTGTGTGCATGCATGTCGGAGGACCGGAAATAATTTTCTAGCGCACCCCCCAGTATTGCACACAACACCCACCCCATAAAATATGAACTGCACTTGTACTACGAGTATATTTGATATTTGTCCGTCTGTCCGAGGTTGTTCTCTTCCCCTCTCGCTTTTTTAATGATATCGGCAACAGGGAGACACACAATTATTTGAGGGGTACATGAGATAGGCTAGAGGCCACGAGGACAACCAGGGGCCAGGTGTTCAATATGTTTTTGTGCTGATAACTCTATAATTTAGCTACAAATTGCTCCTTTTGCCCCGGGCATTTGAACCCACAACAATTACCCGTTGATGATGATAACGGAATGAATGAGTGTAGATTTTGTTTGAAATGTTTATTCGATTTAAACTAAACCACTAAGTATATAACATTTAGATATTAGCGAACTTAGAGCAATTAAATACCACAGAACATGTTTTTTCTCATATAATTAGTAAATTGATTAATATTGTTATATTGTAGATGCAGTGACTAGCAAAGCTTGACTAGCTTGGATGTAGTAGGTAGGATCTCTGGTAGGATCTCTCCCTACACGGGGATTGAGTGCTGAGCCTTCTCCTCACATGCCATTTCCGCTGCCGAAGATGCTGGCCCCGACACCAGGATCAGACATATCGGCGGAACCGGCACTTCCGTTGAAATCATCACTGCTTTGATTGCTATTTTGATTTTGATTTTGATTCGAGTTGGAGTTGTTGTACAGCGGCTGGATCTGTGCGATGGGGCCGCGTGGATCCTCTGGTGTCCAGGTGCGGGCATAGAGCTTGCTGCCCGGATAACGATCGCCCTTGCGATACCAGGACAAGGAATGCGCCACACCGCCTGCTGGAAGGAAGAAAAATTGTAAAGAGTGAGTTAAGGTGCTCTTTCTTGAAAAAAATGGAGTCCTCTATTAGGAATACAAAAACCCACAATCAAGAGTCAAGAGTTCCGCCCAAACAATTAAAATTGTTGCCAAAAACTGAGCAAATGCCATTAGCGGCCACATTACAAGCCCATCAGGGATGCAGAGCAAACAAGCAATGGGAAAAGGCGAAACCCTTTCCGCAGTCGTTTCCTTCCTTCTTGTTGTTGCAGCTGCCGCCCCGCTGTGCCACACCGCCATTTGCCTTGAACAAACAAAACCAAAGCCCTCAGACCCAGAACCCAACACCGGAACCCAACACCCTACCCTACCCCGGCTCTGTCAGAGTCCGTCCAATCAGCTTGCATCCCAGATAGAGAAAAATCCCACCCGGGATGAGCAATTTGTAGCACTCCTGGATTTCAAGTGCCTCATGCGGGTGTTGCTCAAATATTCGACCCCACCACACACAGCCCACAGCTTCCAGCTCGTTCTTGTTGCAAGTTGGTGTGAACATATGCCAGGCGCGTGCCACACTCTCCCTCCCTCCCACACTGCCACACATCCCTTTGCACCCGTTTAAATGGGCGTTTCATTGGATAGCTGCGCTCACCGTCCCGGAAGTTTCCTTTCTTTTTTGTGCGATTTTATCTACGGTTTGTATTTTTGTTTTTGCTGCAACATTTTTAATGCCCGTTAAGCATGAAAACGCTTTTGCCATCAGCTCCCATAGCTTTGGGGGTCGACATCCATTTGGCCTTTAAGCGCACCGAGCACCGAGCACAGGACACAGAACACAGAACACACAGAGCAACGAGCACCGAGAGCCTTGTCGACGATGGATGGCGACAGTAGACATCTGCTAGAGTGTAACGAATTTCTCACGCTATGATTATGTCGATTGTGCTTTGTTGGTGCTGCCTTTATTGTTACTATTCTGTGTATTTTCCCCCCCAACTGTCGGATCGGTCTATCTGCCTGCCTGTCGCTCTGTCTGTCTGCCTGTCTTGATTGTTGGGCGAGATGGCAAGGTGTATGGCCATGTGGGGGATTTTTATCGGAAAGGAAAACAAATTATACATCAGCAGAGCTCTGCTTGCATGTTCATTTTGTTTGGAACTTTATCAAAAATGAGTTTGTTCGTTTACAAACTGCCTCAGAAGGAGGGCAACAAATAAACACAACCATTGGCTTATTAGTGTGAAATTGATTGCATATTTTTTAAAGATAAAACAATCTAGAATATTTATAGAATTGTCAACCATTTATATCCTCATATTTATATGTTTCTTTAAGCATTTCCATCCATTCTACAGTTTGCATATCATTTACTTTGCTCTTTTCAAGCCTCTTGGCAAATGGTCCCAGGATGTCGCATCACCCGACAGGCGTGGCCAGACATCTTCTAAAAGACAGTAGAACTGTTCTGCTGTTCTGTTCGGCTCTCAGTAGAAGGAGGCTAAGATATCTAGGCTCACCTTTTCTTAACGGCATTTCAGAAATGGCTACTATTGGCCCCAGGAGGATAGCCAGGAGGATAGCAAACTTTGTGAGAGCATCTGAATGGGAGCACTGCTGACTCCTCCCAAACGGGAGGAGAAGAGGAATAGATCGAAGTGGAATCACAACGGCCTGAATGTGTTCCGGGATTGTGAAACCTTCCAAGCCTCTCCAAGAGATCTCTAATTGAGTAGATATATTTACATCTCATAAATAGACCCATAAATAAACGTAATCAATATAGAATTCCCCACAGAAAAATGAGTAGAGTACCCAAAAAAAAATCTTCCAAATTCCCAGAGCTGTTCATTTTAATATAATTAACCCCCTAACCACTTTACAAGATGTATTCCAAAAACCAAAACCAGTTCGTGGTGCAACTTTAACCATTCGAAATTTCTGTTTTGACATACATTGGATGGGAAAAAAACTATAAAAAAATGTTGGGAATACTTTTTAGCTATGCATAGCACTCAACGAGCAACCGCGAAACCCTTTTGTAACCCCATATCGACACCCGTTTGGTGTTCCAAGTGCCTGGACTATTAGCTATGCAGATGCTGTGTGGCAGGATCCAGGCCTGTGCAGCGTCATACATTTTGAATAGAAAAATTATTAACCAAAAAACCGTGACTAAAGCAACTTTTATGAGCTGGCACACACGGAAACCCCTAATCCATAGCCATTGTTCCCTACCGAAAGTTGTGGAAAACCCAGCCACAGGCACAGCGACAGCCACAGCCACATCGGACATCCAACATCCCGGAGTGATCGATGCGACGGCAATGAGCAAAACAATTTCCTTGACTGGCAGTCACGCAAAGCCCCGCAAAGAGAACCAAACCGAACCCAAACCGAACCCAAACCGAACACATCCCCGTGCTGGAAGTGTGAAAATTCTAATTAGTTACACTTAGGCAGAGACAGAACAGAGCCCGAGACCCCAGAATCCCTAACCCCAGATGCATCCCCTGTACGATCTGTTGTTGAAAACCAAAAAACCAGCCACCTTTCCCATCAACGATGGCCTTTGAATATGCTACACAATCGCCCACAGTCGTGCGAATTATGTTATTAAATGTGGACTGAACCCACACAATGCACTTTTGATTGATTGACAACTTACTGCGATCCTTGAGGATGATTTTCTTGGGCGGTTCCTTCTGATAATTACGCTGCAAGCTCAGTCCCGGTTCGTTTCCATTTTTATCCTTCTTCACCATTTCGCTGAGGAATGTTATATAGCTGATGGCCAGCTTGAGTGTATCGACCTGAAGGGAGGTCATTGAATTTGTTTAAGGTTATTACTGGGTGGGTGTTGATAGAATAATATAATGAGGGCATGCATAAAGTTTTGCAACAATTGGGAGGGAGGGGTAAATGATTATCTCATGGATTGGCTCACCTTACTCAATCGCTTCTCATATGGAAGCGTTGGAATATGGGTCCTCAGACCCTCGAATGCCTCATTGATGCTCTGCATCCTGCGTCGCTCCCGGAGATTGGCCGCCTGCCGCTGCTGGGCCATCTGGGAGGCGCACTTCAAGCGACGCGGCTTGTGGCTGCGCCGTCTAAACGAGAAGCTGGAGTTAATCAACAAACTGCCCCAT